CACACTAGAGCTCTCCAGCACCAACACCTCCCACACTAGAGCTCTCCAGCACCAACACCCCCCACACACTAGAGCTCTCCAGCACCAACACCCCCCACACACTAGAGCTCTCCAGCACCAACACCCCCACACACTAGAGCTCTACAGCACCAACACCCCCCACACACTAGAGCTCTCCAGCACCAACACCCCCCACACACTAGAGCTCTCCAGCACCAACACCCCCCACACACTCGTTGCTCTCCAGCACCAACACCCCACACACTAGAGCTCTCCAGCACCACAACACCCCCACACACTAGAGCTCTCCAGCACCAACCCCCACACACTAGAGCTCTCCAGCACCAACACACCCACACACAAGAGCTCTCCAGCACCAACACCCCCCACACTAGAGCTCTCCAGCACCAACACCTCACACACTAGAGCTCTCCAGCACCAACACCCACACACTAGAGCTCTCCAGCACCAACACCCCCACACACTAGAGCTCTCCAGCACCAACACCCCACACACTAGAGCTCTCCAGCACCAACACCCCCACACACTAGAGCTCTCCAGCACCAACACCCCCACACACTAGAGCTCTCCAGCACCAACACCCACACACTAGACCCTCTCCAGCACCAACACCCACACACTAGAGCTCTCCAGCACCAACACCCCCACACTAGAGCTCTCCAGCACCACACCCCCACACACTAGAGCTCTCCAGCACCAACACCTCACACACTAGAGCTTTCCAGCTCCAACACCCTCTCCAGCACCAACACCCCACACACTAGAGCTTTCCAGCACCAACACCCTACCACACACTAAAGCTTTCCAGCACCACCCACTACCCTCCCCCCCCACCCCACCCCCCACCCACTAGAGCCCCCCAGCAACACACTCCCACACACTAGAGCTCTCCAGTACCAACACCCCCACACACTAGAGCTCTCCAGCACCAACACCCCCACACTAGAGCTCTCCAGCACCAACACCCCTACACTAGAGCTCTCCAGCACCAACACCCCTACACTAGAGCTCTCCAGCACCAACACCCCTACACTAGAGCTCTCCAGCACCAACACCCCCACACTAGAGCTCTCCAGCACCAACACCCACACACTAGAGCTCTCCAGCACCAACACCCCCACACTAGAGCTCTCCAGCACCAACACCTCCCACACTAGAGCTCTCCAGCACCAACACACCCACACACACAGAGCTCTCCAGCACCAACACCCACACACTAGAGCTCTCCGGCACCAACACCCACACACTAGAGCTCTCCAGCACCAACACCCACACACTAGAGCTCTCCAGCACCAACACCCACACACTAGAGCCTCTCCAGCACCACACACCCCCACACTAGAGCTCTCCAGCACCAACACCCACAGAGCTCTCCAGCACCAACACACCCCCACACTAGAGCTCTCCAGCACCAACACCCACACACTAGAGCTCTCCAGCACCAACACACCCACACACTAGAGCTCTCCAGCACCAACACACCCCCACACTAGAGCTCTCCAGCACCAACACCCCCCACACTAGAGCTTTCCAGCACCCAACCCCCACCCCCCAGCACCAGCACCTCCCACACTAGAGCTCTCCAGCACCAACACCCCCCACACTAGAGCTCTCCAGCACCAACACCCCCCCACACTAGAGCTCTCCAGCACCAACACCCCCCACACACTAGAGCTCTCCAGCACCAACACCCCCACACACTAGAGCTCTCCAGCACCAACACCCCCACACACTAGAGCTCTACAGCACCAACACCCCACACACTAGAGCTCTCCAGCACCAACACCCACACACTAGAGCTCTCCAGCACCAACACCCACACACTAGAGCTCTCCAGCACCAACCCCACACACTAGAGCTCTCTCCAGTACCAACTCACACACACTAGAGCTCTCCAGCACCAACACACCCCCACACTAGAGCTCTCCAGTACCAACACCCCCACACACTAGAGCTCTCCAGCACCAACACCCCCACACACTAGAGCTCTCCAGCACCAACACCCCCCACACTAGAGCTCTCCAGCACCAACACCTCCCACACTAGAGCTCTCCAGCACCAACACCCCCACACACTAGAGCTCTCCATGCAGCACCAACACCCACACACTAGAGCTCTCCAGCACCAACACCCCCACACACTCGTTGCTCTCCAGCACCAACACCCCCCACACTAGAGCTCTCCAACACCAACACCTCCCACACTAGAGCTCTCCAGCACCAACACCCCCACACACTAGAGCTCTCCAGCACCAACACCCCCACACACTAGAGCTCTCCAGCACCAACACCCCCACACACTAGAGCTCTCCAGCACCAACACCCCCCCACACACTAGAGCTCTCCAGCACCAACACCCCACACACTAGAGCTCTACAGCACCAACACCCCCACACACTAGAGCTCTCCAGCACCAACACCCCCCAACACTAGAGCTCTCCAGCACCAACACCCACACACTAGAGCTCTCCAGCACCAACACCCCCACACTAGAGCTCTCCAGCACCAACACACCCCCAACACTAGAGCTCTCCAGCACCAACACCCCCCAACACTAGAGCTCTCCAGCACCAACACCCCCACACACTAGAGCTCTCCAGCACCAACACCCCCCACACACTCGTTGCTCTCCAGCACCAACACCCACACACTAGGGCTCTCCAGCACCAACACCCCCACACACTAGAGCTCTCCAGCACCAACACCCCCCACACACTAGAGCTCTCCAGCACCAACACCCCCCCACACTAGAGCTCTCCAGCAACAACACCCCCCACACTAGAGCTCTCCAGCACCAACACCCCACACACTAGAGTTCTCCAGCACCAACACCCCACACACTAGAGCTCTCCAGCACCAACACCCCACACACTAGAGCTCTCCAGCACCAACACCCCCACACACTAGAGCTCTCCAGCACCAACACCCCACACACTAGAGCTCTCCAGCACCAACACCCCACACACTAGAGCTCTCCAGCACCAACACCCCACACACTAGAGCTCTCCAGCACCAACACCCCACACACTAGAGTTCTCCAGCACCAACACCCCACACACTAGAGCTCTCCAGCACCAACACCCCACACACTAGAGCTCTCCAGCACCAACACCCCCACACACTAGAGCTCTCCAGCACCAACACCCCACACACTAGAGCTCTCCAGCACCAACACCCCACACACTAGAGCTCTCCAGCACCAACACCCCACACACTAGAGCTCTCCAGCACCAACACCCCACACACTAGAGCTCTCCAGCACCAACACCCACACACTAGAGCTCTCCAGCACCAACACCCCACACACTAGAGCTCTCCAGCACCAACACCCCACACACTAGAGCTCTCCAGCACCAACACCCCCACACTAGAGCTCTCCAGCACCAACACCCCACACACTAGAGCTCTCCAGCACCAACACCCCACACACTAGAGCTCTCCAGCACCAACACCCCCCACACTAGAGCTCTCCAGCACCAACACCCACACACTAGAGCTCTCCAGCACCAACACCCCACACACTAGAGCTCTCCAGCACCAACACCCCACACACTAGAGCTCTCCAGCACCAACACCCCCCACACTAGAGCTCTTCAGCACCAACACCCCCCACACTAGAGCTCTCCAGCACCAACACCTCCCACACTAGAGCTCTCCAGCACCAACACCCCCACACACTAGAGCTCTCCAGCACCAACACCCACACACTTGAGCTCTCCAGCACCAACACCCACACACTAGAGCTCTCCAGCACCAACACCCACACACTAGAGCTCTCCAGCACCAACACCCACACACTAGAGCTCTCCAGCACCAACACCCCCACACACTAGAGCTCTCCAGCACCAACACCCCCCCACACTAGAGCTCTCCAGCACCAACACCCCCCACACTAGAGCTCTCCAGCACCAACACCTCCCACACTAGAGCTCTCCAGCACCAACACCCCCACACACTAGAGCTCTCCAGCACCAACACCCCCCCCACACACTAGAGCTCTCCAGCACCAACACCCCACACACTAGAGCTCTACAGCACCAACACCCCCACACACTAGAGCTCTCCAGCACCAACACCCACACACTAGAGCTCTCCAGCACCAACACCCCCCACACACTCGTTGCTCTCCAGCACCAACACCCACACACTAGAGCTCTCCAGCACCAACACCCCCACACACTAGAGCTCTCCAGCACCAACACCCCACACACTAGAGCTCTCCAGCACCAACACCCCCCACACACTAGAGCTCTCCAGCACCAACACCCCCCACACTAGAGCTCTCCAGCAACAACACCCCCACACACTAGAGCTCTCCAGCACCAACACCCCACACACACTCGTTGCTCTCCAGCACCAACACCCACACACTAGAGCTCTCCAGCACCAACACCCCCACACACTAGAGCTCTCCAGCACCAACACCCCACACACTAGAGCTCTCCAGCACCAACACCCCACACACTAGAGCTCTCCAGCACCAACACCCCACACACTAGAGCTCTCCAGCACCAACACCTCACACACTAGAGCTCTCCAGCACCAACACCCCACACACTAGAGCTCTCCAGCACCAACACCCCACACACTAGAGCTCTCCAGCACCAACACCCCACACCCTAGAGCTCTCCAGCACCAACACCCCACACCCTAGAGCTCTCCAGCACCAACACCCCCACACTAGAGCTCTCCAGCACCAACACCCCCACACTAGAGCTCTCCAGCACCAACACCCACACACTAGAGCTCTCCAGCACCAACACCCACACACTAGAGCTCTCCAGCACCAACACCCCCCAACACTAGAGCTCTCCAGCACCAACACCCCCACACTAGAGCTCTCCAGCACCAACACCCCCACACACACTAGAGCTCTCCCCCTCACTAGAGCTCTTTAGAGCCTTTTAGAGCCTTTAGAGTCTCTTTAGAGCCGAGGGGGACACACGTGTGTGTCATCCCCGAGGGGGGGGTGATATGTTATCACTGAGGGGGAAGAGTAACAGCGTCGGCCTCGCTGTCTTGATGAGTCGGCCTCGCTGTCTTGATGAGTCGGCCTCGCTGTCTTGGTGAGTCGGCCTCGCTGTCTTGGTGAGTCGTCCTCGAATTCTTGATGAGTCGGCCTCGCTGTCTTGATGAGTCGGCCTCGCTGTCTTGATGAGTCGTCCTCGCTGTCTTGATGAGTCGTCCTCGCTGTCTTGATGAGTCGTCCTCGCTGTCTTGATGAGTCGGCCTCGCTGTCTTGATGAGTCGGCCTCGCTGTCTTGATGAGTCGTCCTCGCTGTCTTGATGAGTCGGCCTCGCTGTCTTGATGAGTCGTCCTCGCTGTCTTGATGAGTCGTCCTCGCTGTCTTGATGAGTCGTCCTCGCTGTCTTGATGAGTCGGCCTCGCTGTCTTGATGAGTCGGCCTCGCTGTGTCGGAGACGCGCTTGTTTTACGAGCGTTTGAGGCTGGGAAGAGAGTTCACGCCAAACTTAACACATTATCTAAACACGGAAATGCACTCAAGCAAACACAACACGCACGGACGCACGCACACACAAGCACACACATAGACACACACACACACAGACACACACACACAGACACACACACACAGACACACACAAACACACACACGCACACACACACTCAGGGTGTGTCCTAGTAGGCAGAAACAAATGGGCAAAGTTTCTTTCACCCTGAATGCCCCTGTTACCTAGCAGTAAATAGGTACCTGGGAGTTAGTCAGCTGTCACGGGCTGCTTCCTGGTGTGTGGGGTGTGTGTGGTGTGGGGAAAAAAGTACTCAGGCTCCCTTTCATTCTCCAGCCAGTGATCTCCATCCCCCCTTCGACATGCCCCTCCTGCACCCCCATCCCAAGCCCTAATTGACCCCCCAACCCCAGATCCTCTCGGCTATACAACCTCAGACCCTCCTAGGTTCCCCACACTGGATCCTCCCATCCCCTTCTCACCCCAGACCCCCCAGGTCCTCCTCCCTACGCCCCCCTACCCCAGACATCCCTCGTCCCTCTACCCCAGTGAAATCAACAGAAACTGAGGATGGAATGAAGAGAGTCAGTTTCAAGGTAATGTACTCGAGCATAGATTGCAAGCAATTCAAGTGAACTTAGGGAAAGAGCACATGGAAGAAACCTGCATGAGATTGGACTCACAGAAACAAAACTCTCAGGAATCGTAACGAATGCGGTGTTTCCCCAGGTCTACACTGTAATAAGGAGAGAGAGGGGAGGAAGGTGAGAAGGCGGAGTGGAACTATTGCTATGAAAAGAATAGAATTTCGCGTTATTCCAGGCTGCGAGGAGGTTCAGACACTACATTACAGGCACCATGACAATGGGAGGACCGAGAGTAATAGTAGCAGTGATATATAACTCTCCACCAAACAACAGAAGACCCAGGCAAGAGTATGACAGAAACAACATGGCAGTCAACACTATAATTGAGAGAGCAGCCACTGCTGCCTGTAGAAATAGATCCTATCTGTTCATCATGGGGACTTCAATCATGGAAAGATAGACTGGGAAAACAAGGAACCACACGGAGGTGAGGAAACATGGAGAGCGAAACTGTTGAAAGTGGCGACAAGGAACTTTTTAAGTCAGCATGTCAGGGAACCCACAAGAATGAGAGGCAACGATGAACCAGCGAGACTCGACCTAGTCTTCACTCTGAACGACTCTGACATAAGGGAAATCGGTTTTGAAGCCCCTGTGGGAATGAGCGATCACAGCGTACTGATGTTTGAGTATCTGGTCGAAGAAGGGTTAATGTACTCAAGGAAGGGCCCAGAAAACAAAAGGCTGGCATTCCGAAAGGGAAACTATGAGGAGATAAGAAAATTCCTAACAGATATAACTTGGGAAACAGAGCTCAGAGGAAAGACGGCCCAAGGCATGATGGACTACATCACACAGAAGTGTAAGGAGGCAGCAGACAAGTTCGTCCCAGTCCAAAAGGAAAAAAATGAAATGCAGACGAGAAACCCATGGTTTAATCAGAGATGTAAGCTAGCAAAGCAAATAAGTAAAAGGGCGTGGAGAAACTACAGAAATAATAGGACACTAGTGAGCAGAGAAAGATACCAGAGCGCCAGGAATGAATACGTCAGGGTGAGAAGAGAGGCAGAAAGACAATATGAAAATGACATAGCAAGCAAGGCAAAGACTCAACCTAAATTGCTGCACAGCCACATCAGGAGAAAAACATCAGTGAAGGAACAGGTAATGAAACTGAGGATAGGGGCAGACAAATTCACTACAAACGACAAGGAGGTGTGCGAGGAACTCAATAAGAAATTTCAGGAGGTCTTCACAGTAGAGCAAGGGGAAGTCCCAGAGATAGGAGAGGGAAGATCTAACCAAACACCACTAGATGAGTTTGTGATTACCAGTGGGGAGGTGAGGAAGCATCTGCTAGAGTTGGAAGTGACAAAGGCTATAGGCCCGGATGGAATCTCACCTTGGATACTGAAGGAAGGAGCTGAAGCTCTGTGTCAGCCACTAGCCATGGTGTATAACAAATCACTGGTAACAGGTGAACTGCCAAAAACTTGGAAGACGGCTAATGTAGTCCCGATATTCAAGAAGGGTGATAGACAGGAGGCACTGAACTACAGGCCAGTGTCACTAACTTGCATACCATGCAAAGTGATGGAGAAGATTGTGCGAAAAAAGCTAGTGGAACATCTGGAGCGGAAGAACTTTGTATCAAAACATCAGCATGGGTTCAGGGATGGCAGATCATGCCTCACAGGATTGATTGAATTCTATGACCAGGCAACAAAAATCAGGCAAGAAAGAGAGGGCTGGGCAGACTGCATATTTTTGGATTGCCAGAAAGCCTTTGACACAGTACCACATAAGAGACTAGTGCACAAACTGGAGATGCAGGCAGGAGTGAAAGGGAAGGTACTCCACTGGATAAGGGAGTACCTAAGCAACAGAAGACAGCGAGTCACTGTGAGGGGTGAGGTCTCGGAGTGGCGAGGCGTCACCAGTGGAGTCCCTCAGGGATCAGTTCTTGGACCTATACTGTTCCTGATATATGTAAATGATCTCCCAGAGGGAATAGACTCGTTCCTCTCAATGTTTGCTGATGATGCAAAAATTATGAGGAGGATTAAGACAGAGGAAGATAGTATGAGGCTACAAGATGACCTAGACAAACTGAATGAATGGTCCAACAAATGGCTACTAAAGTTCAACCCAAGTAAATGTAAGGTAATGAAACTAGGGGGAGGAAATAGGAGGCCAGACACTGGATACCGAATGGGAGATGAAGTCCTTCACGAAACGGACAGAGAGAAAGATCTAGGAGTTGATATCACGCCAAACCTGTCTCCTGAAGCCCACATCAAAAGAATAACATCGGCGGCGTATGCGAGGCTGGCTAACATCAGAACTGCCTTCAGAAACCTGTGTAAGGAATCATTCAGAACCTTGTATACCACATATGTAAGACCAATCCTGGAGTATGCAGCCCCAGCAAGGAGCCCGTACCTTGTAAAGCGCACGACGAAGCTGGAAAAAGTTCAGAGGTATGCCACTAGACTAGTCCCAGAACTAAGAGGCATGAGTTACGAGGAAAGGCTGCCTCACGACACTGGAAGACAGAAGAGCTCGGGGAGACATGATCATTACATACAAAATTCTCAGGCGTTTTCAGTTGAATTAAGCTGAACGTTTTCAGTTAAACCAAGTCTAAACGTTTTCAGTTGAACTAAGCTGAACGTTTTCAGTTGAATTAAGCTGAACGTTTTCAGTTAAACCAAGTCTGAACGTTTTAAGCTAAAGTAGGTTAAGAAGTTGTCAGATAAACGGAGCCAGACAGTTTCCACGTCGACCAACTAAGAAACTGTGGCTACACCGTTCACGTTAAACACCCAGAACATCCATACGTGGATCAAGCAATGACAAACCCCATTTATCCTTTCCACTCAGACACTCCACAGCCCAGCATGACTGATCCACCACACCGTCGCCTCTCCCATCCCCCATCCACTTCCTTCCCTCCCCGACAACCACTGAAGCAGAAGGTGAGAGTCTAGCACTACAGCGCCATCTCACCACAATAATCTTACTGAAAAGAACAAAACAAAAGAGAGTAAACACGAAGACTGGGGGAAGGCAATCCTCTCTGAATCTGTAGGTTACACAAAAGTCTCTCTCTTACGCGTCGTTCCTTAAGTTTGGTGCGTGGTACGGGTGTTAGCTGTGTGTGTGTGTGTGTGTGTGTGTGTGTGTGTGTGTGTGTGTGTGTGTGTGTGTGTGTGTGTGTGTGTGTGTGTGTGTGTGTGTGTGTGTGTACTCAGCTAGTTGTATTTGCGGGGGTTGAGCTCTGCTCTTTCGGCCCGCCTCCTTACTGTCAATCAATCAACTGGTAATAACTTTTTTTGTTCTCACACACACACACACACACCCAGGAAGCAGCCTGTAACAGCTGTCTAACTCCCAGGTACCTAGTTACTGCTTGGTAACAGGGACATCAGCGTGAAAGAGACTTTGCCCATCTGTTTCCGGTGGCGGCCGGGATCGAATCCGGACCCTGGGATTACGAGTCTCAAGCACTGTCCATTCAGCCACGGCCCCCCCCCCCAATGTGTGTGTGTGTGTTTAAGTCTTAAGAGTAAATACAAGCCAGTCTTGGGTGTTAATTTACATTCCTCAACGTTCCAGTAAACCACTCGTGTTATTGTTGGGGTAAACCTACACACCTTTGGCTGAAAGTAATCGAGAGTGTACACAACCTCACCCCCCCACCTACCACCCTCCCCCCCCCCCACCTCACACTCGCTACTGACGCTGCTGCTTGAGGCAGGAAGCTGGAGAGGCACCTTCACTCTCACCCTCCATTCCTCTCTCGTTCTACTGACGAAACAGGAGGAGGGACGAGGTGTCAGCAGCTTGAAGGTGCTGACGGGGCGGACCCTAGCTCCTGGTCACCCTGTCGCCTCTCGTGTTTCTTAATAAACTTTGGTTTCTCCGCTGGAGCAGACCTGCAGGCCAGCAGGCCAGCAGGCCAGCCGGCCAGCAGGCCAGCCGGCCAGCAGGCCAGCAGGCCAGCAGGCCAGCAGACCAGCAGGCCAGCAGACTAGCAGGCATGCAGGCCAGCAGGCCAGCAGGCCAACAGACCAGCAGGCCAGCAGGCCAGCCGGCCAGCAGACCAGCAGGCCAGCAGGCCAGCCGGCCAGCAGGCCAGCAGGCCAGCAGACCAGCAGGCCAGCAGGCCAGCCGGCCAGCAGACCAGCAGACCCTGGAGACGGTTTACCTAGTAGTGCGAGCCTAATATATTGAGGAACTGGTGTTTATATATATATATCTCTACCAACCCATCCTCATGTTTATAGATAGTAGTCTTTCTAACAACGTGCATCATAGTATAAATATTGACTTAATAAGCAATTTGATAGTTGAATTTGATACTATTCACTTTATAGAGTCCGAAAAAATGAAGCTAAAACAAAATTAAATATTCCTCAGCCTAATATAGCACACATATGTACTATACTAGATCTCAGATAGTGTGTATTAGGCCTAGGATGGTTAGGTTAAGTTGTCTTTGCAACATAAATACAAAACCTTTTCGATTTGCCCAAATTCAATAGTACAGATTTTTACTTCCAAATTGCATTGTAAGTCGATATATGTACTATGGTCGTCATCGTTAATATAAGTACTACCAAAGGAGGAAAATGGGATGATCAATACATATAAGAGAGAATGTTGGTCCAACTTGTCCTCTTAAAAATAACGTCGCTTTTGGCCGTTCACCAGTATGGCCGAAAGTGGACGTAATATGAAAATGAAAAAAATGAAAATAAATTTGGGATTTTTTTCAACAACAGTAAGTTAAGGGTCCTCTGATAGGTTAGGTGGGCAGGAAATTCTCATCAAGTTTCAAAACGTTATGAAAAACGTTAATTGAAACTTTCCTCTTCTAACCTTGCCGAGTAAGCCGGACGACTCAAACAGAGAACGGGACAGTACGTCACTTTTGTGAGTCGATTTAATTTCAAATTACGTCCAAATTTGGCCATAGCCGCGCATACCGGCCAAAAGTGACGTTATTTTTAAGAGGACGGGTTGCCCCCAATGTGGCTGGTCTGGGTGGCTAGGCGTCTTGACGGACCAGCATGCCGGGGTCACGTTCACACCATCACCACGATTTTTGCCTCTTCTCAGTCACCTACAACAGCTTAATATTTTGAAAACAAACTCTAAATTTTTTTTCTAATAGTAATATGCACCATTATTCAGTGTCCTGGGGGACAAAAATTCTGCCTGTTATTCATAATTTGCCCGTAGTCACACAAAACAGACGATTATCTCAC